TACTGTTTAACCGAAAACCATGTGACATGCCACTATTGAATGATGTTTTTTATCTTTTCATCTGCGTTTAATATTAATTCGACTATTTATACTCACTAGTTACTTATGCACTCTTAAGTTTAGGTTTTGGTACGACGGTTTGTATTAAATTAACTTTTCAGTTTACGCTGCAGGTCCTTAGTACCAAGCAATGAAAATGTATGTTTGTTTTAAATTCAATCGCGCCTGAATTCAAAATAGCGCGAGCGATAGCGATATGAGTTGAAATTCGATATGCAGGAAGTTTATGCCTTCTTGGCCGATGTTTTTGATCTTTTTCACTGCGTTTGATCGTTATCCCTGCTGATATTATAAGGGAAATATTTGAATGATTACAAAAAAAAATATAAATGAACACCTAACAATACAATTGGTTTCAGTTACCAAATTGTATTGTTAGATGTTCATTTAAATATTTTTTTGGTTTACCAATCGTTTTTTGAGGATCAATTACCTCTTTTTATGTGCCATATTTTAAATGCAAAAATAACTCTGTTCTATTTGCCTGTTCGTTACATTTTCACATAATAATAGGTTGGAGAAAAAGATTTTTCGCAATAAAGTGTGTATGAACTTGTAATAAAATCTCTTTGGCTTTACCATTTGTACCAGGCCATTCAGAAAGTTTTGCGAAAATAAGTTTTTATGTATAGGACACTGGCCACTTGTAATTATTTTGAAAACTTCGATTAACGATATTGTGACAGGTTGTGACGAATCTTGGATTTATCAATACGATCCAAAAACAAAGCGTCAGTCGACAGTTTGGCTGTTTTAAAACGAACCAACGCCTACGAAAGTGAAACGATCGAGGCGCACACGGAAAATTTTGATTGCTAGTTTCTTCACTTTGATGGGGTACTGTACGGGGGTATGGTATAGCACAAAATGCCTACCAGAAGTTTTTTCTGTAATGAGCAACAAGCGACCTAACACGGGGATCCGCGGGGTCCTTCTTCATCACGACAACGCGCCCGCGCACTCTGCGATCAAAACGAAGGGCTTCCTGGACTCCACACCATTCAGAGGCTTGGGACACCTTCCTTACAGTCCTGATTTGGTTCCGTGTGACTTGTTTTTATTTCCTAAAGTAAAAATTAGCCCAGGCAGAGGGATACAGTTTTCATCGCCGGAAGAAGCGCTAGCAGCATTTGAGAAGGCCGTGGAAGAGGTGTCTGCGGAGGACCGGAAAAAATGTTTTTAGAATTGGTTCAGACGCATGAAACTTTGTATAGAGGCTGGTGGAGAGTTCTTTGAAAAGATTTAATAAAAATATTTTTTTCAAAGAATTTAGTTTTTTAGTTTCTCAAAACTTTCTGAGTGTACCTAGTATAGGGCTGGTTTTGGTATTAATGATACCAAAAAAGAAGAAGAGAAAATAATTACAAATTCAAATGAGAGAAATGTATGATTTTCATTTGTTTTTCTTACTGTCAAGACGAGTGAATTCAATGAAGAAATTCAATACATTTTAAAAAATTACTATAAATTAGTTAAAAATGCAACGCAAGCCGTGAAATAAATTCGTCATATTTATGGACCTAGTGCAGTGTCTGTGAGAGTAGCACAAATTTGGTTTAAGCGTTTTCAATCCGGAAATTTTGATAACAAAGATGCACGTCTCTCTTGTCGCCCTGTTACGGATAAAATAGATGCTATTTATGAAAAAGTGGAGTAATATTCGGCATATCAGTAGTTATGACGTAGCTGAAGAACTGGGAATTGACCACAAGACAGTTTTGGCGCATTTTTAAAAAGCTAGGTACACAAAATAGCTTGATATTTGAGTGCCTCACGAGCTCACTGAAAGAAACCTAATGAAACCAAATCATTTTTGAAGAAGCTGATTACTGGTGATAGAAAGTGGATCACGTGGGAACAATTATGTGCGAAAAAGGTCGTGGTCAAAGGTCGGTCAGGCTTTACAGGCTCTGACGAAATCCAAGCACGCAACAAGGTGATGCTGATCCTACTTGTCGCGGTTTTTTGATCAGAAGCCTCAACATTTCTATAGCAATGGGATCATGTCTCTACCTGCACGATGGCAAAAAGTTATGAAACAAAATGGTACTGACATACTTTACTTAAATGTAAATAGACGTTATTAAAAAATGTTTTGAATTTTCATATAAAATGCGAAGAAACATTTTCTCCGCCTAATATATTCATTTCGCTCAATTTTGGAAAGAGTAAAAAAGAAATATTGAAGGAACGACTAAGGCCCTTTGTGTATGTCTCGAAAAATTATGATCAAATAATTATATATATTATGTCCTTACATATGAATTGGCATTTTGTAGAGTTTGGGAGGAATGTTTTCGTATTGTAATGGTAGCCATACACACTACGAGAAATCATTACGATCAGACTGTACAGTTCGAACGGAACAGTTTATCGTACGTGGAGTACGTATAGGAAACTGTGCAGTTTTATAACATACACGCTACGATTTATCGGTACCGTTCGGACGGTACAGTATAATCGTAACGATTTCTCGTAGTGTGTATGGCTACCATAACGTGTTTGCAAGTTCGATTCACTCAATTCATGAGGTACCCATCGTTCAAGTTTTTTTACTTTCCCGATTTGCTTCAAGTGGATTAATACAGTTTTGTCTCTTACCCCGAAACCTGCAGCTTTCTATGAAGTGCTTTGTGATGGATCCACTTGCACAGTAGCCTTTAATTCTCAATTTTTCACTTTGGTCTCCGGCGGTCCACGGGGTTGGTTCTGAAGGTCGAAATTTCCAGAACAAAAGCTTTGAAAAAAAAAAAAAAAGTACCGTGCTTTCTCTTGCGACATCAGCGCCGTAGTGCCTTTTCACATGTACACGGACACGGCACGGTTGCCGTGCCGTGTAAAATAGTAATGTATGAGCAACAATGAGAGCTTTCACATTGCACGGCGACCGTGCCGTGACCGCGTGTCAGCCGTCCTTATCCACTATAGGCACGGTTTTGACGCGGCAACCGTCTTTATAGTCTTGTATGGACTTGTATAGACGCGTTCACATGAACACGGGCGCGGTACGGCACGGCGAGCGCAAATACCATTCCTCAGCTAAAGTCATAGGGGAACGGACGGACGATTGTTACAGAATGTCTGTCGAAATCGATGTTGATGTGTTGATTTCGCTAGTTGAAGCGCGTCCTACTTTATGGGATAAAACCATCGCGTCTTAAAAACAGGAACGAGACAAAAGAACCGTGGAAAGAAGTATGTATAGGATTAAATAGTAGTTTCGAAGAATTAGATGATAATGAAAAGAATCTTTTTTTGTTCCATGATAATAGACGTCGTCGTTCCCCAAAATTCTCGATAATGCTGCAACATCCATAGCCGGCGACCGTGTGTAAGCCGTATACATGTCAAAGAGCTAGCACGGTTGCACGGCATGGCGGCCGTGCCGTGACCGTGTGCATGTGAAAAGGGCCGTACTCATCATTAATCTTTCCAGCTGTTTCTGCAGCATTGGTGCACAGGTAGAACTCGTACTCATAAATATACTGATATTTCATGTTTTCCATTGTGCGGTAATAAGCGCTACTCATCATTAATCTTTCCAGCTGTTTCTGCAGCATTGGTGCACAGGTAGAACTCGTACTCATAAATATACTGATATTTCATGTTTTCCATTGTGCGGTAATAAGCGACGACAAAGAAAAAAATAATGAAGAAAAAAACAAATGAATGACTGTTTTCAAAGCTAAATGAATTTATAAATTTGAATTTGGAATTCTTAACCAAAGGGGAGATATTTCAGATCAAAGTGGTCAGTACGACAAAACGCTCAATTCATAAGTGAGGACCTAATATATATTTAAATACCTGCCTTCGCAATTACAAAAATATCCCTTTCCTGTCATGTGTATTATGGACGTGGGTTGGCGTTGTTGACCCGCAGAAATTACTGACTCAGTGGAGTACCTACCTACAGTGAAAAGAAAATGTTGCCTCGTAACGACATTTTATATACACTTTGGTTTCTCCGGGACTGTGTTTGCAGAAAAATAAATGTGCCCTTGTTTATTTAACGAGTACCCAAGTCCTATATGCGATCGGCAGATATTGGTAAAATGATTTGCAGGAAATCTGGCTGATTCACTCTTCGGTTTCGACTTATTAGTCTTATTGTTTACTTACCTTTATAAAGCGATGGTATTATTTGATTTTATACGAGAGTGACGTTGTTAAGAGAGTCACATATAATACAAGTACATTGGAGATATAAAGTAGTACAAATTTAATCGCGCAGTATAAACCTATTCTCTTATCCATTAAACTTTAGCTACCTACTCAATAAAAGCATGTTACTATTATTAAGTTATAGCTTAATGCAGTAGGATTACGACTATTAATAGACGATGTAATGGTATTCCCAATACCGATGAGAACACCAATTTGTGGGGCGTATATTTGTCTACCTCTCTTTAATTAATTATAATTTCTTTGGACAATGGATAGAGACAAGATATCGAAACCAAAAGTATTGATACTTCCATTATATATTGGTATCGTAAAATCTGGGGCCCCGGACCGTTTACGATTTGCTGAGTTAAGTTAATTTAATCACAGTAATAATAAAATTGTGGAAATTAAACCTATTTTTTAAATTTGAGTTTGCATGACATGATTGAATTATTGATTCATACGATACTTGATGCAAAGTGCTCTTATTAGTACAGAGTATCGAATTAAAGTATCGGTGTTTTGAAGTAATAGAATCCAATCAAAAATTATATGAGTAAAGAATCGGATTTTCCATTGCAAATGGAATCTAATTCAAAAAAGTTCCAATTAAATGTTAAATGCCTTATAGAAGACGATTGTCTCATAGTATTTTGGTCCACTTTACTAATTTTTCCACCCCCAACCCGACTACTTTCAATAATAAATCCTACAATATCTAATTTATTTTTAAAATATAATTTAATTAACAGTAGATTCTTTCTCTTTTTCAGTACGCTGGTGCCGTGGAAAATTTTCCGAGAGGAGCTGAACAACGTGCACCCGATATCTTCAGGTCTCGAGACGATGGCGCTGAAGACCACCATAGATCTCACATGCAACGACTTCATATCTAACTTTGAGTTCGACGTATTTACACGGTAAGGATTGATTTACTAAATCGTAACAGAAAATTTTACTTAATAAATTCCACTTAGTCCAGGCATCAGACAGTATTCAAACCTGCGCGCTTCCACTATCCGGGCACTAAACAGTTATGCTACTTAGACCGTTAAGATTGCGTCAATTTCTTCTAGTATTTCTTAGCTCAACTCACAATAGCGCAGAATCGAAGTGACACACAGAAGGAGCTTATCGCTGTGCCTTTAAAAACAGTCCGATTGGATGCACTCGCAAACAGACATTTTCCATTCCAATCCTTCGTTGTATGTTAAGTTTGTTGCGACATGGGATCCACGATGTAGCGAGTTTACTTAGAATCAGCTTTTTCGCTCTGGCTATAAAAATAGACAGATTTTTTTTTACACTAAGAAAAAACATATAGACGTGGAAACCCAATTACATTACATTCCATTTCCACACTGCACGCATTATACAATAGGATTTAAGAAACGTTTGATTTGAAGGCGGAAAACGGCAACCAAGAAGAGATGGTAACCGACCGTGGGTCTGGACGTCCAATGGAATAGAAAGGAAGGAGTATCAGCATGGAGGAATGATTTCAATTAGAACCTAAGCACATTCCCTGAAGTTATAGCCAGTAAAAAAACCTTACAGCGTAGAACCAAGCTATGATAGGTTCTACCAATCTATTGTTGCCTACGATTGTCTTGGCCCTGCGTTCCACCTGTAGTTAACTGTTATATGAGTACACAAAGAGTGTATCGTCGGCTTATAAATGTTTCCGTAAGGCGATATTGTATTTAAAGCACATAATTATTTCTGTTTTCCATCACTAGCAGTAAGAATTGGCTAATAATAATTGTCCTTTTTGTTTATATAAATCGATATTATTCCAGGTTATTTCAGCCGTGGAGTACGTTGCTCAGAAATTGGCAGTTGCTGGCTGTGACCCACCCGGGATATGTGGCGTTCCTGACGTACGACGAAGTCAAAGCTCGCCTGCAGAAGTATATACACAAGGCTGGCAGTTACGTGTTTAGGTGAGTAGTGTGAGCAGACAAGATAATAACAGGCTGTTTTTTTTTTTTTCTCCCTCCCAGGCGGGGTAGCGGGTGTGAAATCCTCATGGATACCCTATCCGGCTGTAGGGTTATGTCAGACTCTTACTGAATAAAACACACCCGTGGGGGATGCATGGCCTTAGGGGCCTTTCAGGCTTCATCTGATGCGATCAACCCCTGAGAAGGGGATGATGCAGCGCTGCCTTAGAATATACTACTGCATAGTGCGCTTAGAGGACGGATGCACTCTGATGTGCATCCGTATCGGTTTGGGACTGAGCAACTGAAGGTCTCTCAGGATCGGGGGGAGGCTGTATTCACAGACATATGGAATAAGTAATACTGGGCAGATAAGTGGTCATTCATCATTTTCTCTTTGTCTATGGCTGTATTTCGTAGAGAACCCACAGCCGTCGGGGCGGAAAGGTTCTCAAATGGCCACTGCGTATCGGACGACACTCAGTGGGCAGGATTTCCACCATGTCGACCGATGATCTAGTGAAGGTTGCGGGAAGCCGATAGATGCGATTGGCGCAGGAACGATCGGTGTGGAGATCCTTGGGCGAGACCTATTTTCAGCAGTGGGCGTCGGTCGTACGGCCGATATGAGGATGATGATGATGGTTGTATTTGATCGGGACAACGTTGTTGTCCATTGATGTTACAGTTACTGAAAAACTATGTTCATGCGATTTGTGACTCTGAGTCATTAATAACGTGTACCGGTTTCTCAGAGCTTTACCTGGTACTTATTTAAGAAAGCGACTGATTTGGATTTGACTTTAAATGCCATAAAAGGACATTGCTCGTTCCCCATACATTGAATGCCCTAGAACGCACAGCAATGAGAAAATGCTAGTTGTGTTCGAAATCATTCATAAACTTTAATTAGGCATTTGTTGAGATACGGACAACTTGAGGAACCATGGCCTACTACAGAATGTATTAGATTTTGAGGTTATAATTATTATACTTAATCGTCAAAGATGTACACTTTATATATTCTGAATAGGTTTAGTGTTTACCTCTATGTAAGCACTTAAATAATATTCATTAAATGAACATAAAATGCCATTAATAATAAAAATAATAAATGCTTATATTCATATTGATAATGAGTGCTGGCAGTGATGACACCTATGATACCTATACCTACCTGTTGTAATAATAGATTTCTTTTCAAATGAAATGTTCAAAGTCTTTCCATTTACCTGTTTCTATATTTTACTAACGATAATTAGGTATGTACCTGGTTATCATTATGATTTTCATAAAAATAAACAGATATTACATGGGATGGGAGTATAAACTATCTTAACATAATTTCAGAAATAATCTTTTTATAAATATTGGTAATAATTATGATTAACTAAATTCTATTTTTATGCTTTTTATGTTGACAAATACCTTTGGTCGCCTATATTGCATTTATTAAGGTAAACAATCTTGGCACAACTTTTTAACAAAATCACCCATTTAAAAATAAAATATTAACAAGTCAATAAACTATTAAAATAAATCGTTATTATAGACTGAAACCTATTGAATCCGGTTATCAGTTGATTTTTAATGCTGTATTTTCAATAAAAAGGAGTGCCATGTTGTTTACCAAATAGGACAAGTTGGATGAACATACTGTAGTATCTAGTAACAGAACTTTTATATTTTATTTTTTTAAACAGCTTGTCCGTTAACTATGATTAATTGCTAATAAGTTAAAAAAATAATAGAAAAATAATAGTGAAGGATATTCTTTTGGGCATGCTAGGGCCAATTTCGTCGATGTCCTTTATTTGCTGTCTCTGTACGGTCTTCAGAAGATGGACGGACCGTTCCCTGTCCAACTGTAAGTTAAACTGTTCAGTACCCCTAGCACGAACCAATATCGAATAGTTTGCGAGTTCGAGATGTCTTTTGTCAAATGTGTACTGATTTTTAGTTCTCGTTACGTCCTTTGTAGCGCTGCTGTTCAAGTTTCCATACAAAATTTGACAATGACATTTCGGACTCGCATTCAATTCGAATACGATATTGGTTCGGGCTACTGTAGCCCTAGTACGAACCATACACATGACATTTCGGAGTCGCAAACAATACGGATTCGTAATTGGTTCGTGCTAAGGGTACTGATAAGATGAAGCGATAGTGTGGTAAATAGTTTTTATAGGTTTTCGCTGTACCATCGCCTTTTCTCTTTCTAGTGTTATTAATATCATAACAGTGTCGCTCAATATCAATACATTCTCTATGCCTGTATTTGTTTGGAAAAACATTGTCTATTGATTTTACCGCTATTGAAAAACTATGTATCTTACCTAATATACGATTTATCCATCATTAATAACGTAGACCAGTTTCTCAGAGATTTTGTTAGCAGATTTGTATTTGACAGGCTTTAGTACTTTCGCTTCCGCGAGCATCGGTTTTTGGTATTTTTCATGTGGTCATTATTTAAAACACAACTGATTTAGAATTTAACTGCCCTTCTATACATTGTCAGATGCATTTATCGTAATAATATTAATTATTATCATCTAGTATTTGTTTTGTGGTCGTAATTTCATTTACAAATAAATACTACAACGTAAGTGACCACGAAGCTTAAAACAACATTGAATGAGGATTCGTGACGATTTTAGTTGAGAATGCAGATTTAAATAAGGCTAAGGATTCCATACAATACAGTACTAAAATTTTTGTTCTACGACAAATATCGACGAAGTTATGACCAAATGACTAATTTCAATTAGTCTTAGTTTTCGGCTGGCCGCGTGGTGACTGTGACGTCACAGAGCTCTAGTACTCCGTGCGTAGAGACGCTACAAAAGTTCGACCGGAGTGACTACGATCGAGCACTGTGACGTCACACGTTTAGGCCGCCGATGAATATTAGCTACCATAAAATTTATGTTTTTATTTATTTTTAAGCATTTAACTGCTAGATGTTTAAAACTAAAGAAAAGTTTACTAGAAAAAAAATCCACGCGGACCAGGCAGCGGACGGGACTCGAACCCGCACCCTTCGCAATCCGAGCGAATGCACTGACCATTATGCTACCACGGCCCTATTTGCCGCGTCGAAATTTTCCTAGCCTTAAGCTGCAAGGCAGCGCCATCTCTTCGCATTGTAGGTAACCCATAATGTCAAATGAATACTTTTTCAAGTATAAACATTTGAAAGAAGAAATAGCAATTATAGTTATGTTTTTATTTATTTTTAAGCATTTAACTGCTAGATGTTTAAATCTAAAGAAAAGTTTACTAGAAAAAATTATGGGTTACCTACAATGCGAAGAGATGGCGCTGCCTTGCAGCTTAAGGCTAGGAAAATTTCGACGCGGCAAATAGGGCCGTGGTAGCATAATGGTCAGTGCATTCGCCCGGATTGCGAAGGGTGCGGGTTCGAGTCCCGTCCGCTGCCTGGTCCGCGTGGATTTTTTTCTAGTAAACTTTTCTTTAGATTTTTTTTCTAGTAAACTTTTCTTTAGATTTACCATAAAATTTGTTATAAAATCGCAACGAATTAACCGATTTCGATGATTTAAAAGTATAGTAATTAAAAAGCTTATTAGATCATTATACTGTTGATTTGAGTTGATTTGCTGACCTACAGGTCGTGCCAGTTCCTTAAGTTAACAGAATAAAGCACACTTTCGATGTAGTCAAAAATGATTGCTTCAGAATTACAATCTAAACTAGACTCTACCCTTAATAAAATTACGAATTGGCTAGAATCACACAATTTGCAACTCAATCTTAGCAAAACTAAGCTCATTCAATTCGGACCCTACCAAAAAGTGCCACTAGACGAGACACAAAGATTGATGTTGTCAATACTGCTACTTTGCTGGGTATAGAGTTGGATGCACACTTAAACTGGAAATGCCACATACAAAGGCTGATAAAAAAGATGTCATCTTTTGTTTATGCACTTCAACATTTAAAACGTGTGACCGATTTTAGATCCGCTCTTACTGCTTACTATGCATATGCTCATTCAATACTATCATATGGTATAATTTTGTGGGGAAGCTCATCTGACGTAGACAAATTATTTATAATGCAAAAGAAATGCATACGAATTTTGACAAACATCGATCAGATGGAATCATGTAGACCTTATTTTATTAAACATAGAATTTTGACCCTTGCATCCATACTCATCCTTGAATCATGTAAATTTGTAAGAAAACACCCAGAATTTTATTCACCAATAGTAAGTGTTAAAAGAAATAATAGGTATTTAAATAAATTAGAAGTGCCATACAGCAAATTAAGATTGGTTTCGGATAGTCCTCATGCTATGACAATAAAAATCTATAATAATGTACCTAATAATATAAAGAACGTAGAAATATCAGCCAAATCCAACAATCAATTAAAATCATATTTAATCCAAAAATGGTTTTTATAATTTAAAAGAATTTTTTGACGACAAATGTAATTAATTTTTAAAGTTTACATTTTCATTATTATTATTATTGCTTATTGACATTGTTAAATCTAGTTTATAAAATTGAATTGTTTGTTGTGTAAAAATTAAATTATTATTATTGTTGTTTATTGAAATTGTTAAATCTATTTTATTAAATATATTTGTTGTGTAAAAATGAAATGTGAACTAAGTATTATAATATAATTATTTAACAAGCCCTCTGGCTTGATATTTGCTATGCCCTTGCAGGGCGTCACATACATATTTACTTTACATAAATTAATGTGCCACCATGAATGTTATGTGACATGCAATAAATAAATGAATAAATAAATAGATTCAAAGAGATTTCTTCTTAGTAGTAAAAAACTCACCTGCTAAGCGGGCGGCCCGGGTTCGATTCCCAGCCGAGGAAGGACTTCATTTTTATTCATGACTTTAAAAGTTTCACTTGCATCGTGGTTTCATAAAGCCATACCATTTTGTTTATTCTATCTAGTTTTCTTCTTGCAGGTTATCATGCACTCGCCTCGGCCAATGGGCAATAGGCTACGTAACGGTCGACGGAGAGATCCTACAGACTATACCACAGAACAAGAGTTTGGTGCAAGCCCTGCTCGACGGTTACAGAGAAGGATTGTGAGTTATTTCTTTAATTTTAAGATGAAGAAATAATGATGATCAGGAGCTCTACTTTTGAATCACTCGCCAGACATAGTATCGTAGAAAGCGACATAAGTCACCTTCGACTTTCAAATCGCATGATACAGATTTTTTATATGTTTGAGTCGTTCGTCACCGGTGTTATCAGTTTAATGCGAAATATTTTTTTTTATTAATTTCACGGAAAAAGACAAAAAGCAGCCATTACCGCTGTGAAAAATAAACGTTTAATTTAGGCTGGATTCGAATCAGAGCGAGCACTAACCGCTATGCTACCGAGACCTGAAAACGTGTTGAATTTCTTCTTATATTTCATATTAGCCATTGCTCCACGGTATAGGTACACACCCTGCCAAGCTTCTTTAGCAACGACCATGTACAGAGAAGAAGTAGCAATTTTACATACAGAATCGTATACTGCGCCAGTTTAGATGTCTGTAGTTTTTCTCAAGAAGTTTGCCGCTACCTACAAAAGAAATCACTGCTATACTGTATAACTTCTTGTTTGACGAGTTTCTTAACGACACATATAAAGAGTTTGAATACAAGTTAATATGCGTGTATCTGGAGAAGATTGGACAAGAAAGTGAAAATATAGAAAATGCGCTCGATGTCTGACTGCCTGCGCGCTGCGTTTAGTGTTGTCAGGCGCGTGTTTTTAATATAAATTATTAACGACAGCCCGCTACTTAATCAGCGTTAATTTTGTTTCCTGTGAATCCCATAGGAACCTGAAATATTTCCGGGTAAAAAGTATCCTGTGTCTCAATTCAGGTCATAAACTATATGCATACCAAGTATCATCCAAATCCATTCAGTAGTATTTGCGTGATTGATTAACAAAACATACAAACTTTCACATCTATAATATTAGAAGGATAGGATCTTTATTGATATAACAATACCTTCGTTCACATGACTGTAGTTTGAAGAAGATCCATTAATCACTTAATATTTCTTCACAGCTACTTATACCCCGACGGTCGGGACGTGAACCCTGATCTGAGCAGCGCCATCATATCGCCAACTGAAGATCACATCACCGTCACGCAGGAGCAGTATGAGCTGTATTGTGAAATGGGTATGTGTGTTTAGAATCTTATGTAGGAAGGCCAAAGGGGACGATCTTCCTCCGAGCTGGGTGATGGTAGCTCGGGGGCCGCGGCCCGACTGATATTGGTCGGGCATTGTATATATTAAGTATTTGCCTCCGAATTTATCTTGCGCGATGTAGGCTTCCTTACTTATTGATCGCAACGCCGGTAGCGCGATCTCTTGAGGAGGCGAGTGATTATTTCTTCTTTGTAATATGTGGGGCATATGCCCCATATGGCGGCGACATCTATATGACATCTATATAGATGTCGCCGCCACACTTACATACATAATTCAGGGGAAAACCGCTTTACTCTACCGCTGTATGAAAACTTACAATAATATTAATAATCCTGGAATCGACATATTTGGGGATGCAGAACAAGTTTGTAAGAAAAAGTGTGTAGCAATGTTTTCTTCGTTTTTCATTTAAATTTGAACATATTTTTAATGATAGTTTCCATTTGCTTTATGGCTGTTTGTAATATAGCTTAAATATTAGGGTAAAAAATTAATTTGTATTTTTTTTATTAACAAGGAAACCTGTGCTCGTGTTGTGTAGTAGTTTTATATGTATGTAAAGGTATACCATTAAACTAAGAATTTACATGCAAATTGTCAGAACATGTTAGATGGTACTGTCGCTGGTGTATCTATACAAATAAATAAATACATTTAATAGCACTTTTCAATATAATAATGATTTTAAATATTATCGTTTCGGAATTTCTTCAATGGCCACAGCCACCGTTCCTATATCCTATAGTTTTCCATTTTAAAGGTTTTAGCGAGTATTTTAACGAGTAAAAGCAGCCTCTGAACTCCTCGTAAGCCCAACACCATCATCAGCTTATAAATGTCCCCCATTGCTGGGGCAGAGGCCTTCCCTATGGATGGAATCAGGAGATTGATTAGGCTGTGACTCACTACGCGAGCCCATTGCGGATTGATGGGTGCTAACGACTGCAGGCTTAAAATGACTTCCGGAGCGCTTAGGAGCTCCAGATAGTAAAGTTTTGGTTACCCATCCTCAGTCCTTGGATGCGACTGCGAAGTTGCATAACATCAACTGTCGCAGCCGAAAGCGGTAACCACTTGCGCCGTCGATGTCCTCGAGTTTTAGATTTTTTTATAGATAGGTCCGAGAAATGACTCCACCCCACCTGATGTTAAGTGACGGTGAAGTCCAGACGCGAAGATAGCTGATACAGCAGTTCTACCTGCCACACCAGCCATCCTCACCCTGCCGGCCTGCATGTTGCTTCTTCACGCCTCTTTTAAAGGATCCCAGGTTGTAAGAGGGAGGGAACACGTGAGCGGGCAGGGCATTCCATTTATGGATAGAGCTACAAATATTATATGTAATTATAATTAAATATAATATAATTATAACAAATTATAAAGTAAGTTAATTATTTGTATTTTTTTTACAGGAAGCACGTTTCAACTATGTAAGATATGTGCAGAGAACGACAAAGACATTCGGATAGAGCCGTGCGGTCACTTGCTCTGTACACCTTGTCTCACTGCTTGGCAAATCGTGAGTATATTTTGAGCTAGTTTTAATGAACCTAAAAAATCTATTGAGAATTATTTACAGTTTGTGGTAACTACATTTGAGGCTGCCTGTACCGACCTAATAATAATTGTTTCACAAAAAAGAGTGAAATTTAAAAAAAAATATATATAATACAATTTCTAGTATACTTTTCTTTTGATTTCAACATATCTAGCAGTTAAATGCTTAAAAAATAAACACATAACTATAATTGCTATTTCTTCTTTTAAATGTTTAATACTTGTAAAGGTATTCATTTGACATTGTGGGTTACCTACAATGCGCAGAGATGGCGCTGCCTTGCAGCCTAAGGCTAGAGAAAAATTCGATGTAGCATAATTAATGGTCAGTCTATTCGCCCGGATAGCGAATAGTGCGGGTTCGAGTCCCGTCTGCTGCCTGGTCCGCGTGGATTTTTTTCTAGTATACTTTCTTAAGATTTAATTAAACATTTAGCAGTTAAATGCTTAAAAAATAAAAACATAACCAAGAGTGAAATTAATTTCATGTTTGTCAAAGTTAAGAAAGCTAGGGTATAGTGGATTTTCACCTTACAAGAAGACCACAGTAAAATAACACTACCTTTTGGTGGTGTGGTGTTTCTATCGATGAGTAAGATTCCAGGGCTCCACGGGGTACGGGGTTGGGCCAGGTAGGCAACGGCGCGAGTGATATTTTTGGTATCGCAAGCTTCTATAGGCTAGTGACCGTTTACAATCAGGCAGGCCATGCGCTTGTTTGTCACTCTTTCAACATAAAAATCTACCTAATTTATAAATAGGGTGCCACACATCAAGTGTAAAATTTTCCTAATAGACTGTAACATCCACTTGCAGTAAATTTGCTTAATTCTCGATTCAAACTAACACTAGATTCAACCTATAGAAAATTGCCAAAACGTCAATCTCAATTTGACATTATTGTATCGGTTATATCTAGTTTTAGTTGAATCGAGATCTAGAAAATTTACTGCAAGTGACCCCTAATCATATATAAAGCAATGAAAAGCTCGTGTTAAATCTATTCATAATACTTATAATAGAATAGGCTAGTTGACTCATGTCGAATTGTATTGAATAAATGTTTGTTTCTTAAAGTATTTGGTCTAAGGAACCTAAATATATCGATTTCACTTCATAAAAGCAGAAGATTGCCGTAGAAATTTAATTTAAAAAAAATATTTTTAGTCTATATATTTTAAACACTAAAAACGCTGTTCGCCACATCCGCCATGATTGTAACGTCTCTTTTAGTAAACAACTAAATGTCATTCATACATAACTTTAAAACTTGTATTATTAAAACTGATAATAAATGAAGAGACTTAAAATATTATTCAATGAGTACTTACATCAAAGTGATCTTCGCAAAAATAAATTTTACTATGAGTCGATAAAGTTGCAGGATCACTTTTAGCAAGTTCTAACCAGGTATTGCGTAGGTTAATTTTTTTCGGCACTTTAATCCACAACTTTCCTGGAGTCTTCAAGGTTCTTACATTCTCGTACAATACAATAATGATAATTACTATATTTTTCGTGGTATCTATTAGAAATCATGTTTATTTTATTATTATAAACTCAGATAGGTTATTTTCTACGTGCTTACGAGTTTTTGTTTACTACCGTCAACGTCATAGCATAGATAATCTATAGACTAAAATGGCCGACAGCGTTTTTGTATGTCCATGAAAAGTCTATTTTAAAATTAAAGATTTGTAACTTTCTAGGTCTCAAAAAAATACAATACATTTTTTTCGGTCTAATAGAACATTTATTAACCATTTAAAACCTTTTTCCAAAAATGGTCAACTAGCCTATTGTAGGAAAGTCAAAACTGTACATTGAATATTTTTTAAAAGAATACTTGGGGTGTGATCTACAATCAATACCGAAGCCAAAAATATAGTTTTTAGAATATTTGTCTGCTTGTCTGTATGTATGTCCGGGATAAATTCAAAAAGTACTGCATGGATTTACTTCAGATTTGGAATATTATTAAGAAGACGGGTCAACATATAGGCTACATATTTTCACGCTATCACCTACGGGGAACGAGCAGCGAACGTTTATTTCTTCAACGCATTCTGTATCAACGTGTATTCCAACAACGGATATTTGAATGTTGTTATTATGTTAACCATGCTATAAGCTAGCTTCACACTATAAGTAACTTCGGCCGATAAACATAATAGATTTATTCATATTCATATTTCAATTTTAAAGCAGCGCCATCTATGAGATTTTATAAACATCAAGTCGAATTACATGTGTGAGCACTTTTTGGATATAATAACTAACTCCACGCGTACGAAGTCACGGGCGGCCGCTAGTAAATAATATCTATCTATTTACAGGATTCTGAAGGACAGGGCTGTCCGTTCTGCCGGGCTGAGATCAAGGGAACAGAACAAGTGGTAGTGGATGCGTTTGTGCCCCCACGCCCTCCTAACTCCGATCACAAGTTAGTATCATCATCATCATCATAATCATCACCAGCCGGCCTTTTCGCTAACTTTGTTGTCATTTACAGTGTGAAACTAAAGAGGAAATTGCATATCCATCGATGCTTTTCAGAACAAGTATCTTTAATCACAATCGTAATCATCACAAGCCGGCCTATTCGCTAACTTTTTGTCATTTACGGTGTGTAACTAAAGAGGAAATTGCATATCCATCGTTGCTTTTCAGAACAATAGTGGATCACTAAAAAGCTCGTTGATTATTATCACTTACATCTATGTGCACGGAAGCGGGTCCGTTCAGCAGCTTGGTAAGCTGTAACTTCACCTGGAAGTCAATAGCCTAAGGGAATTGCTATGGCTATCGCATACGTTTTCATTTTGTTATTTCTGCCCGCCGAAGGTTTTCGAATACCTTACGCACATTTTCTTTAATATTGTTGTTACCAATACAAAAGGAAAAAAAAGAGCGCGGGGCATTTGAAAATCTTCGGCGGTCAGAAATAACAAAATGAAATGGTAAGCGATAGCGATAGCAATAGCAATCTCGTTAGGCGAATGGCTCCCAGGCCACCCGTTGCTCATATTACGTGTGCGGGTTCGATGTTCGTGGCTTGGCCAGTGTGTCACTCGTAAATAATATTCACCGATTCTGTTATACAGTATTTACTCGTGCTTCACAGAATAGGTAATCAATACATTGGAGTCACTTCAACTAGTTACTTAACTGTAATTACATAATAATTCTTCCAAATATGGCGTCTACGCCAGTAATTTGTTTCACACCTTAACACAACCACTCGCGACCGTGGTTTTGGAGGAAGAGGAAATATTGCACGCCTCGATTAAGGTCTGGCGGTGCGGTTCATTCTAAATATGAACCTTATGCAGTGCGCTGTAAGGGTGAAAGTGCAACGACATCTGCACTTGTTTACATCTCTTGCGCGTTATCTACTTACGTTGGTCGGGCATTGTATATATAAGAAAGAAAGAAAGAAAAAGAAAACGTTTTTAGTAACTCTCATTTACAAATACAAATATAAAAAAACTAAGGGTTTACCAGGATTCTGCCTTAGCATTAGCTGAGCCGGTCCTATAAGTAACAAATATTACTTTACCTCAACCTCATAATATGAATTTTAATGTCGCAGGAACTCAAACACAAAGACTGCAGTGAAACCGGTATCTTCGAATTCGTCAGGGTCATCAGGCTCGTCAGGGTGCAATGGATCTAGTGAGTATTTTTTTTTTAATTATTATAAAGAAGACTGTAGAAATATAACTTTCCCATTCGAATTAGGCCTAATTAGGGTTTGCAATCCGGAAAAACGGATCCGGTAATCCGGCGGATCCGGCATCATTTGACGGCAAACTTTTTTGATTTGTGGATAAGTGCGGTGACACTTGATTAACTCACTTATTTTGTACGAAAAAGCTAAAATCATCCTGATTTGATTAATCCGGTCGATGGGATCAACCGATGGGAATCCGGTCGTATCCGGCCGGACTAAAAATGACGCCGGATTGTAATCCTAGGTGTAAAGTACAAAAAACAACCCGAGTTTTATTCTTGAAGTTCTAAGCAGAACTATTAATTAAGCAGCAGACGATTTGAGTAGTATACAGGGCGTCCACGGCTACCTCACACGGAGGGAAAGTATATTAAATATTGAAGATAGGCTATTTTACTGAAAGAAGACATCATTTTATTTTTAATCTTAACTGGAACTGCATTCACAGCTTTTTTTTAAATCGCCTGCTTCAACTGGGAATCAAACTCTTGAAATTTGTTGTATGCAAATTCTCACTCTTTTAATAATTTCTCTGCCTGTCGAAAATTACATTTCGTCGATTTGCATCAGGAAGATTATTGATCTCACCTCTTAAAATATCAAGTATTTCTAGATATCTTTCCGTGTTCAGATTCCCTTCGTAAAAATGTATTAAGAGAACCCGGTTTTTAATAATCCCACCACACCAACAGTCGAAAGAAAAGCGCACTTAATCATTAGTCTCACGGATTCATAAGGGATTTTGTCTGGACCAAATACGATTATTAGGCCGGTTGTACATATTAGATAGCCAGCGAGATCCCCAGATCTAACCCGGCTGGACTTTTTTTTGTGGGGTTATGTAAAAAATGAAGATACAAGATCCGGTACGACAGTGCGCAGGAGTTTCAAAATCAGACATATTATTACAAACATTCACCACGCAAAGATAATGAAATCGACGGGCAAGGGAATTATTAAAACAGTGAGAATACAAGCATAAAACAAAATGGATCACATTTTGAACATTTGATAAATTAAATTATTATTATTTTCTTGCACCGTTTCGTTTTTATATTAGTTTGTGTTAAATAATTTTATATAAAATGTTAAATTTAATGACTTTTCTTTAATTTAAAATGCTATATTATTTAGCAAAAAATAATCCCTATGATTAATTCTTTCGATGGTTATCATAAAATAAGTCCTGGTTTTTTTTTCGAAATTTCACGAGTTTCATTCCCAGTTGTACCAGGCGATTTAAAAAAAAAATGTGAATGCAGTTCTAGTTATTATTAAAAATAAAATGATGTTTTCTTGCACTGAAATATCCTATCTTCAACATTTAATATACTTTCCCTCCGTGTGAGGTAGCCGTGGGACGCCCTGTATACTACTGTCATTCATTAGGTCAGGGTAGCCATCGGCGCGAGTGAATTTTTGAGGCCCTAATGGCCCTAAGCAATTAGCATTATAGCATTAATGGTCAGTGCTTTCGCCCGAAGGGTGCAGGTTCGAGTCCCGTCCTCTGCCTGGACCGCGTGGATTTTTTTAGTAACATTTTCTTTAGATTTAAACATCTAGCAGTTAAATGCTTAAAAAATATAACTAAAAATGATTATTCTTCCCAGGCGTAGATGTCACAATATCAAATAACTCAAACGGTTGGTCGTCGAGAAACACAACGTTCAACGGGTTGACTGACGATATCGACGATGCTGAGGTAAATTGACGATTATTACTTGCCAATAAAAGCCCGTATTCCAACGACATGTTGTAAAAATATTGCATTGAATCTTTCTATTGATAATACTGTAAAAAAGATATTTTAGAATTTTCTAATTAAGCTTGATTTCCCTTATTTAATATTTATATATTTTTTGAGTAGCTTTTTGAGTACCTTGTAATATTTTGTTTTTATTGGTTATACTTTCTGTTGGTTCAATACTGTGTGGAAGACGTTCTTTATTATTAGTTTACAATTTTTCTTTGCTTATTTCTATAATATGTCATCAACACGGCTAATGGCTACGTTATCTAAGTGTTTTTATATAATGAAATCAGTCTTAAAGTTAATTAAAGCATGGTTTTAGCATTTTGCCGTGCGGCATGTATTACAGTGTTGCAATAGTGTTTAATGGGGAGTTTTCTACTTTGAAGCTTATTTAAAAGGGTCACTTCATCTTTTTATCATTTTATTTCATTTTTGTTTGTGTTCGCTTGACTTACTGGCGCTTTGTTTGATTTTCAAGAGTCTATTTTACGTGTCATAGGTTTTCTTACCAAAACTGTCAAATATTCGGCGCATGATTTTGGGTTTTATTCCGATTGACATTATTATTCACAATCTAATGGGGAAATGTGACAGTTTCCAGTAGTTTCTTAAGAGGCTAGCTGTACTTAAATTGTGTGAGTTTTGTCTGTTAAGATCGTTTTGTTTGATGCCCATTTATTTGTTTTATTGTCATTTAATTTGCATATTACAACGGAGCTGTAGTTTTCGCTAAAGTAGACCTTCGATTTTTGCCCAACTTTGTACCTAGGTATAAATTATCTCAAAAAACATCGAAAATTATACCTAAAACGACTCACTCATCAAAATCTCCAACAAATTCAATAAAAATTGCTAAAAAAGTCACCAGGATCCCACGAAATCCCGTTCCGGCAGGCGAGGAAGCACTGCTAGGTTTTTAGTGGGTAGCCCCCCCCCCTCGCATTTGCCCAACAATTAATAAAAAAAGGGAATCTGCGTATAAATAAACGTTATTACTTAGACGCAATTTGTCATTGACTGACAGATGACAACTAATACTACTGGTTTAAATTAATTTCCTTGATTGTGATTGGTTGTATCAAAAATCATGTGATTTCCGTAGCTCATAATAAGATGTTTAAGATGCACATTTACCATAATACATTATCTGCGCTGCCATTTTTATGTGATACATATGAATAATAAACTCCATTTCAGAGAGAGAGATATTTTTGAAGAATTAGGTTTAATTTTCTACACGTCAATGCATGTTATTACTTGAAGTACAAAATTGGGCGGAGTTGTATGGAGAAAATAATAGATCATTTGCTGCTGTAGTATTTACAGTTAACTTTCAAAATTATCTAAAAAATTGTGTGTCCTTGTGGAATTAAATTAAAAATTTTCATTTAAGTAAACATAAATATTAATTCTGATTAGTTAGATTTCTTCGTATTGCCTTCATAGAGCAGCCGTGTACCAGGCAGCAGTGGGGTTACGTTAATAGTCTGATAATGATATGATTTTATCTTTGATCATTTAAAAGTCTAGATAGAGCAATTCAAATAAATACGCAAGTAAAACGGCTAAGTTCCGCACAATGTGTGCGTGACTCTAATGTCAGATTGTACTCAAGCCGTCTGTGTGTGTGTGTTCAGCGACGAAATCCTTTCGTTACCGTATTTACTGCACGGATTTTGTGCTGCTTGCGTGCAGTAAATATGGTAACGAAAGGATTTCGTTTTATTTAAAATTATATATATATATATATATATATATATATATGTACCCAAAATCATAAATATGAGAAAAAAACCTCAAGATTATATTAACTCCACTCTTTTTGCGCATTGCATAAAACAATGTAAAAATATATCACGTTTAGGTTTATTTAATTGGTTTGCGACTCGTAAAGTAGACTCTTATGTGTGTATGGCTTTAAAATCAATCAATAAGGTTCAATTTATGTATTATTATGTGCACTTTAGATCCAAAGTGCGCATGGACAGACGTAATTTAGATTATTTCTTTTTTAAAGGACATTTTTTTTGATTATTTTATCTTTAAACTTCACCCACACACTTCCTGATGAAACAATTATTTCTGTTTCTTATAAATTTCATTTTCTAACTCAGAAGTCGATAATGTCAAATTCCGTATTTTGATATTAGGAATTCCTTTTATGGTATGATGATTTTGAACCTTATTACTATAGCGCGAGTAAATCGAGCGTTATTGCATGAGGCGTCCATACATAAAAGTTGTGTTTGTTCGCAGAGGCGCGAGAGAAAGTCACCGCATGCTTAGTGTTTGCACGAAAGCCATTGCATTTGTGTCTCCTGCCGAAATTAGGTCACATTTTATTATAAACCTAATGTCTATAATCATTAGTCATCCTTTTGTGTGAGGCGACATTATGATGTCAGTGTGTCCGTTCTCGAAATGATCAAATATAATCTCCAACCAAGGAGGAGTCAATCTTAAGTATTATGTGTGAAAATATCTATTTAAAGAATGAATTAAACGAAAATAATGTCTGTGTGGATTTATTAATTTCATACTTGAGTCAAGACTTGAATTATTATAGATTTTAGAAGACTCACCGGAAGTTAAATCATTGTATTAAAAGTTTAAATTAATATCAATTAAATTTTAAAAAAAAATAATAAAAATATGATTTAATTTTTTGTCAATGAGGTAAAATTGTTTGTTTTTAACGTATTGTATTATTTTCTAAAAACAAACGCTCAACAAAACATCACGTACAATTCAAAATAATTATAAAAATATATAAAAAACAAATTTATTGTAAATTTATTTTACTTTGTTGTACTGTACATACAATATTGTAATGCTCAAGTTTTTGTTATGTTTGTGCGCAACATTACAATACTAATTGTAACTTAAAACATAGGGTTAGATACAAAAAGAAACCTTTAAAAGTTTTATTATAGTATTTATCTGACAAAATTTATGTTTGTCATTTTATTATTTATTAAGCCATTGTAAATATTATTTATTTCGTTATTTTTAACGTGACTTTAGTGTCAGAAATGCATTATTTTTATAAGTTTACTGGTAAATGCACAGGTAAGCAGGATTAATTATTTTGATACTTAATTAATAACAAAAATTAAGTCCGTAAAATTCAGTCAGATTATAAAATTAATTCTGTTGATGTTATTTATTATTTTTGTCCAATGTTTTTTTTTTAAATAAAATGATTTTTGTGACTATGACTGATGATGATGATGATATATTAGTTTGAACTTTTTTTTATTTTAAGGTCAATTAATAAGCCTTCGATGCTAGATTTTGTATCGAATTGTAGACCTTACTGCGTTAGTATTAAATAAAGTAATGCAATAGTATTAATTGATCTTTATTTTTGAAATCCATTCATGTTATGTTAGATCTAATGAAGTATTTGTTTACGCTTAGATTATTTGCATATGTCTTTGTCTTTTTTTATTTTTTATTGCTGACTTAATTATTTATTTTGTAAGTTTTTGAATGTTGACAATATACGCTTGGTGAAATGTGTGTTTTGTTTTGTGTTTTCGTTTAATTTATTTAATTTCACTTTTATAAAATTTTAGAAAGAGATGACTTTTATCTTAGTACTTTTATTTTCTTCCGTTTTAAACTATTTTAACTGATATTGGCCGAATATGAAAAGAAGTAGAAATTAAAGATTTTCTATATCGTAAGCATCTTGTTTCAATAATGTGCATGCATTATGTGCCTCATTTAAATCTCATTAAAAAAAGATTCGTCTTATTATGAACTTTTTAGCACCATGCAAGTTATGTTATTAGAGCGAGACAGCACATAAGCATAGAGTAGAGAGGACAGGAGGCTAAACTCACAATAAAGCATCTAGACGATATGTTGTAAATGGCAAATCCGCTTGTTGATCTGATATTTTTTTTTTCTAATAAAAAAATACTATTTACTCATGGACAACAAGAAAGCGCTGTTATAAAAAAAATATATACTGCATGGCAATAAGATCTTTTAATCTGTTTTTATGACTGTACTTTATATACGACTATTGCATATTCAGACCTTATGAAGCTAAATATGTATAAGTCATTAGTCATTGCTTTGCCAGCGCTTAGTTTCGTATTAATTTGTTACTTAGAAAAAATGTGCGCTCAAGTGTTTGGGACAGATTTTTTTATTCTGCGTGCGCTGCCTTGTAGTGCGTGCAGTTTCATGTCATTTCATATAGTAACGTTGCGACGGGAGACCCGCCTCATGCAGCGCAGCTCTATGGAATAACATGAACTAACACGCGGAGTTGGGCGTCTGCTCCGTGCTCCTGATTAACCCCTGGTCTGTGTAAATGGCAGATTTCTGGCAACGTCTAAAACCCCGGTCTGTGAAGATTTCAGATTTCTGCAAGTTTGAGTTGAGAAAATAATTTTCATTTTTCATATTTTGCGTTTTTATCATATTTAATAATAGTTTTTAGTTTACACATCTAATATATAGACTAGTGGCCCGCCCTCGCTTCGGGTAGAATTGATCAAAATCGTTTCTTAGCGGATGCCTACGTCACAACATCTACCTGCATGCCCAATATCAGCCCGATCCGTCCAGTGGTTTGGGCTGTGCGTTGATAGATCACTATGTCAGTCAGTCAACTTTGAGTTTTATATATATAGATAGATAAGTTTGTAGAGAAACTATTCAGGATTTATTTAAGACATAAATGAAGCATGGATGTACAGTAGAACTCGAATAAGAAGAGGAAAATCGCCTGGAAAAAAAGGGCGTGAAAAACAAATGCAGGGCTAACACAGACAGGGTTTAGATCACTAATTTGCTTACACAGTTAGGGGGTATGGCAGCATACGCCCTTATGCTGGCACTGCACATCAGCATCTCCTTTTCAATCCTTATAGAGAATGATAAAGATAATAGGTTTTGCTGTCAAATTAAAGTTAGCAAATAAAACAAGTTTCAATGGGTTAAATGCACTGATTTTATTTATTTATTGACGTTTCATCCGATGCAGGAATATAGGTTTTGCATCCTTTGCAGGAATGCGTTGTCAGAATAAATTCTTCGTCGTCGAAAATTATTCTGACGACGCATTCCTGCAAAGAATGAGGAACGTCAATAAATAAATAAAATCAGTGCACCTAACCCGTTGAAACTTGTTTTATTTAATGAGTGATGTGCCTGAAAACCTAAGAAACAAATAATCATTTTTTTTAACCAAATTTCGACCTTATGTTGACGTTCTTAAGGTTCAAAGTCACCGGCAGAATATTGACAGATCGGTACTTAGTTTTATTCATGCTACTATGCTTATTGGCGATGTGTTTAGTGCACCATACTTCGCTTTTGTAAGATTTTTTTTTCTTTGCATGCGAAGGTAAGTTTTTGTTTTTGTGCTTTTTTATCATTACACGGGGTTTCTGTTTTTTGTCATCTGGGTGAATTAATTTAATTGGCTATTCCGATTTTTTTTCTTTCTGAATAAATAATACTTTGGATATCTAGTAAATGAACTCCTCTGTTTCTGAAACTGCAATGGTTAAAATAGATTTCTATTACTTGACGGGGTAGGAAAAATGGGGTAAGGTAAGGTCATGTTGACTGTAGCGCTACGTTTATCTGTCGCAATAAAGAAGAAAGAAAGAAAGTTTATTATTATTATTAAGTAGACTTTTCATAACAAAGTCCAGCACAAGATTTTCGGGCCGATGGCGTTCTTGTAACAGCCAAAAATGAATTAACTATATTGAATTTGAAACGGACTCCAGTTACGCTCAGCATCAAGTAGAATGAAGTATTGAGTCTTCCATTTTTGAATGAGCGTTTGTCCAATGAATACGGTTTTCTAGGATTGGGCGGAATTCAATGCAGCCACATCCACGATAGACGGTCTTCGCCCTTCTGTACGATCGCCGGCGGCTTCGCCACGCCACTCACCTCGCGCGACCCGTAGAGCGCCCGCGCCTGCCGAGAACGCGTACGGGGAGCTTAGGGCTCCGCCCCTACCGCCTAGGAAGAGCCTGTCTCCTGCTGAACCGGCTATAGCGTCCGCATCTAGCGTACAAGACATCGTTACTGCTACGGCGCAGGGTAAGTCCCACAATCACATCTAAAAATGTAATACAGACAGATTGGGAGATATGACCTTTATTATTAAGAGTACAAAGTCGAAAGAGTCACCTTCGATGCTCCACGCCTGCTGAAAACGCGTGTGGGGAGCTTAGGGCTCCGCCCCTACCGCCTAGGAAGAGCCTGTCTCCTGCTGAACCGGCTATAGCGTCCGCATCTAGCGTACAAGACATCGCGTTACTGCTACGGCGCAGGGTAAGTCACACAATCGTGTCTCAAAACGTAATAAAGACAGATTGGGAGATATGACCTTTATAATTAAGAGCACAAAGTCGAAGTAGTCATCCTGGATGCTTCACACCTGCTGAAAATGCATACGGGGAGCTTAGGGCTCCACCCCTCCCGCCGAGGAAGAGCCTATCGCCCGCTGAACCGGCTACAGCGTCCGCATGTAGCGTACAAGACACCGTTACTGCTACGGCGCAGGGTAAGTCCCTATCACATCTAAGAACGTAAAACAGACAGATAGGGAGATATGACCTTTATTATTAAGAGCACAAAGTCGAAAGAGTCACCCTCGATGCTCGAGGCCTGGTAGAAATGCGTGCGGGGAGCTTAGGGCTCCGCCCTTACCGCCTAGGAAGAGCCTGTATCCTGCTAAACCGGCTATAGCATCCGCTTCTAGCGTACAAGACATCGTTACTGCTACGGTGCAGAGTAAGCCCCATAAAGACATCTAAAAGCCTAATACATACATAAGATTGGGAGATATGAACTTTATTACTAAGAGCACAAAGTCGAGATAGTCACACTCACACTCGATGTCTAACGCCCGCTGAGAACCGTCCCTCCCACTTTGGAAGAGTCTGTCGCTATAGTATCAGTTTTTAGCGAACAGTGTATTTGTGAATGCGCAGGGTGAGTTACACAATCACGCATGATGCCTTTTGAACTCTATGCTAGAATCAATGGCAGATTTACAATAATTCAGAAGCAGATGCAAATTTCGCTGACATGTTAACCTTGACTGCATGTAAACACCATTTTCTTCCTTCATACGCCAGTACAATCGCACAAATCATGTAAACATCTGACATTATTGTTAGGGGCCTACAACTAGATCGAGTTTCTGTATGATATGTAGCTGAAGTAGTCCAGCTAGTTTTGTGGTTTCTACCACTAGCGTACAGTATATCCGAACTAATAGATTCTCAAGGAGAGATTTATTTGGTTTTGATTTGCACTGTGTAGTAGTTTGTGTCATGTTTTTTTATAATCAAGCGCAAAAAAGTTGATGCCTAAGCAAAAGTTCCAGAACTATTCCATTACAGCATAGATTTAAATTAGTAAGGAGCCGAAGGAAGCTTCTTTGAATTTGAGTAGGTATTTAGCTGAAGTTACTATTATCGTGACTTTGTTATTCGATGTTTAGAATACAATGAGGTTATTTAAGTTCATAATAAGTCAATAATGAATAAGTGAATCATAATTATTTGTTCCAGAGCCAAGAAGGCGGTCGTCTTTAGAGCCCGAACCAGATTCGAGGCATCGTCTGACATCTGTTATCACCGGCTCTACGGAAACTATTACAGGGATAATAGACACTAGACACGAGGTTTGTACATTCGAAACACAAATATATATATAATAATAATAATATTCGTTACCGTACAACGAATTAGAAATAATATTCAGTACGAACTGCGCTAAAAAGTGGTTCCATGCAAACTGTGATCAAGTAGGCGGTGCGAAAAAACTGTGATCCACACGCCGATCATGTCGTTGGATTAATTAATTAATCATAATCATGGGATTGGTTGGGATTCTCGTTTAACTTTATCTTAAGGATAGCCAAATTCATTTGCAGATATTTGATTTGACAAAGAATTTTGTTTTGTCTGTGTGCGTGTCGCGTTAGTATTGTACTTTAGTTTGTATGAGTTTGGAACCATGATTTAGCAGTCTTGGTTAGAGAATAATGCTTCCATATCATTTCTAATTCGTTGTTACGTTCCGTAAAGATATCTGGTTCATATATTTTGACCTCAAGATAAAAAGCTTATGCACTTATGTTTACAAACGTTTCTATATTCATTAATTTGTTATTAATCGTTAAAAATGGGCCCGATAAAAAATGTACATAATAATCGCCTAAGTAGGTACCTACTTCGAAACTGCCCATTAAAAAAATTTGGTTTGGTTGATGCTCATTCAAACACATTTCGTCCATAGGTACCTCCCGACCCAAGGGCATTCGAGAAGCCCCGTCGGGCTTGCACACCCCAATCTAACTGTAGACCTTTACCCGCACCCCCTCCCGAACGAAATTTTTCCGACGACCGACCAACGCCAACTGAATCCCGCACAATCCTTGACAGAAACACAGACAGACATACACCAGACGCGAGGCAAAACGACAGACATCCGATGCCAGAAAATCGACTAGACCACAGACCCGCAAACCTCCCTGAAAAACCGGCACACATCGACAATCGACCACACGTAGAACACAGACCAGAGAGACATGTCCTCCCCAACCCTGAAAATAGAACAGATAGACTATTACCGAATCTCGAATGCAGACAAGAAAGGCATACGCAAGACGCGCAAAGACATGTTACGAGTACAGACAGACATGTGCCAATTCCGGAGCCCAGTAAAGTGCACTTGGGGTTTGTGGAGAAAATTCCAGATCGGCATGCGGAATCAAGGCATATAGAGTTTAGACATCCACCTGAAAGGCCTCCGGATAAACCTTCCAGTTTTGAAAGGGAGAGAAATGAAAGAGTACCGCCTAGGCAAAGGTCTTTGCCTTCCACGACTAGTGGAAGTGTAGACCAGCCCACGAAGTCGACGACTATGCCCAAATTCCCTTCGGAAGAGGCGAAGGAACCCTCTTACGAAAACGTCAGCGTCGAAAAAAACGAGTTAGCGGTTGGACGTAAGTATTTGACGTTTTACAGAGATATTGGTGTCGATTCTGGCGTAATTCTCTAAACTTAAAACTAAATTTAACATCAGTCTCTCCTTTTCATTCTGTATAGAGAATGACAAGGATATATTATTTTTTATAATAAAAGTCTTTGTTGGATAACTGCGGTTTTTATTTTAAGCACTGGTTTTATTTTAATACACAATCACAGAATCACAGACACAGCAAGAGAGCAAAGCGCAAACGGAAACAGGAAGCTAAAACGTTCAGTATTGCCAGCATCATAGGGATGCTCTTACATTATTTTAAATATTACAACAGGATACACTGTTGCCAAATTTAAGTTTAGGTGTAGAGAATCATGCTAGAATCGACACCATTGAATTAGAATACGTCATAAGTTTAGATATTGTGACGTCATCGAAAGAACACCCAATCAGAATATCTACACGCAGGGGCACATCTAACAGGGCACCCCGTTATTTCCATACAAACACGCGCATCTATATGACAATATATTTCTGCAAAGACGTTGCTAATGTTTAGGTAAAACATCCGACTGTCCTAATAGCATTTTGTAATATTACCGAGACCATCACTTTTGTCCATAGAGGCAGAACAATGAATCCTTCATCATATTCCATACATTGTGATATGGCAATAGGTAATGTTTTGCTTAAACAAAATTTTGGAAACGGGAAGAGATTTTTAAAACTGTTCAAAGAGCTAACTGGATAGTCAAACACATAATCGAAACATAAAGCATATATATTATTGCAGAAATATATTGATATTATAATGTACTGAGTCGCAAAGTGAGTATGTTTCTTTGAAAATAACGGAGTGGCTGATTAGATGTGTCTCTGAGTTTATTAACATGAGAAATGAAACAACTTCTATAATTTGCTCTGTGCTAAAGGATAACATGCATGCTTTGAGAAAAAAAAGTTGTTTAATAAATATTAGGTTCTTCATTATATAGATAATTGTTTATTTGTTAAATTCTCTTTTGTAATTTTTATCTATATTGCGATACCCTGACAGGGTTCATGTTAGGTACTTTATGCATTTTGTAACTTGTAACCATCCATGTAACCACATGACTGCAATAAATTGAATTGAATTGAATTGAATTGAACATGTCTCAGATAACAATAATATCATGGTAGAAGACTGTTCAATGTAAATAATTTTAAAGATTTTCTTAATATTTATTGCAACCCTCTGTGCTTTTTTCAACAGATAATTTGTTTTTTAACATATAAATCAATGTATACGTTTTTTTTTTCAGCAAAGAAATTCAACCCTTTAACGCACGACAAGCACGGAAGAAAGTATGCTGACAACGTCTCCTATGAAAACATAAATTTAGATTATATCGCGAGGCTAGTAGGGGAGGGTTATCCGAAAGATATCGTGGTCAGAGCTTTGGGTATCACCCGTAACGATCTGGAGATGGCATGCGATATATTACACGAATTTGGCGCAAAAGTACCGAATAAATGTTAGCTAACAGTTGAATTAGTTTGAAAAGTTAAAATCTGGGATTACAAGTTGGTGTGTGCCATTCGTATACAAAATAACTGATACAGAAACAAAAATGGCCGATATGTCGTTTCGATTGGTCAAAATATCTGTTTTCGTATTTGCATTCGATTGAGTCGTTTTTTGCTTGAGGCTTCATTGGTGAATGGCGTTGGAAATAAATGCAGACGGCCTGCAATGTTTTATGCGAGTTTCAGTCATGAGTGTCCATGAGGAGTGTTCTGAAATTTCCATTCTGGGAATGCTTTATAGAAGTTTAACAATACCTATTAAAATATAACAGTTTCTCTTGCACCTATGGAGATTTTATTCTATGCTGTGTTTATAACCAATCAAATTGGTATTGCAAGCTCAGAAAAAATCTGTGATAGTAAAAAAAAACTAAAATTTACCTCTCCAGTTTTAGTACTTCATGACACGTCTCATAGATTTGATCGAACGGCATCATACAATGTCAAGGCAATTAGTACCTTATGAATTAATCGATAAGTCTGATTTTGGATGTTGGCGTGTAAAAAAGACAAAAGACCTTTGTCTACTTCAATTAAAAACTTCGCTTGCGTCGTTCACATTTTTCGTCGTGTAAATTGTTCACATTTTTTTATGTTACATGATATTCTAAAATGAACGCTTCGCTTACGGGAATAAGGTTCATAGTACTAGCGACCTGATGCGACGTACAAATCTGCCATTTTGACACAACAAGCAATAAAGATTTCAATGTGCCTTTAACCTTTTGAAGTCGGTTATTCTATACACACAGAATAATTTTGATGCCATCATCGACCGCACACTCATACGTCAAGCAAAATTGATGCTTATGTTTCTTTTTGCCCTAGTAATATTGAATCAATGAGTGATTATTAAAATTTACGTCACCAGTTAGCGCCACTGTGGCATGTGGAGGTCTGTATGAAGTTTTTGGCGCGAATTAATCGAACGAGCATTTAAATTGATCCATAGACTATGGACGGCATAACCTATTTGACAGAGGAGTAGACCTTTGGCCTATGCTGCCACCTGGCGCCCGTCATTCCAGAAAACCCCCATTGACAACACTTTCGTATGCGCGGCCGTATAAGCAAGTACGTACTGATATTACGCTTCACAATCTGTCTAGTCATTTCATAAAAATGACCGTGCTGCTATTCGAAAAACCATATTTTTTTGTACAGCTCATCACGTATTTCTTGTTCACTGCAAAATAAATACAAATAATGTAATTTTTATGAACTATGTAAAAGAATCCTAATTCCGTGACTGTGTTTTGTAATTGTATATTTTATGAATGAAAAATATCAATTTTTACATAATGAAAATAATAAAGCCATTTTCAAAATTGAAAGAATTGCCACTGTAAGTCGCCTTTGAATGTGGCTAAGGTAAAATGTAATTAAAAGAAATGTATATAAGTTTTAAGACATATTTAAGAATATGCCCTAGGAATGTAGAGAAACATCCCAATCATACCCATGTGTTCTTTAAACACTAATTAAAATTATAAAATCAAACGTTTAAAGGTTAATTGTCGTTTTTAAACAGCTTGGTTTCTGAAAAAAGTGTGATAGTATTATAGGTTTAAAATTAAACTTTAATAGCATAGCTGTAAGGCACAATTTCGTCTTAATATTTATTTTGCTGCCACTGTTATCATTAGTAAACTTTTTATTCCAGTGTTCTTTTTAATTTCGAACAGTATTTGTTTTTTACTCATACACAGTTACAATAAGTAATTTGCAATGTAAATATTATAACTATTGTAATATAATAACTTATATTTTCATATTAAAAATTGCTATCTCAATCTACTTAGAATAGCAATTCACATAGAATATATTTTTCATATTTACGTGTATGTATAGTACGAAAATTTTTGACACTCCAACTTATGACATTTGCAATATAAACTAAAAAAATATTAGTGTTAAAATTCAAACTTTTTAAAATTAACGTTATTGTACATATTATTATTGACATTTCTATTTTTTTGGTATCATGCATTTTGCGAAACGATCTTCCTTTCTTATGTAATAAAAATAAAAATTAGATTAGTAAAAGAAAAAAATGTTCATTCGTTTGTGAGCTTAAGACGTAATGAATGGAAAGTTTTGGAATATGATCTTTGTCTTTATAATATTTTTTTATAAATAAAATTGAAAAAAAAAACTTGTTACTAAATTTTAAGCGGGCACTTTTACTGTGCAATCTACGAATTGCTTTTTTTTTGTTTTTATTGCTTATACATTGCCATACATTTAAGTTTGCTATTCTGAATTTTATGTTATTATAGTAAAAAATCACATCAATCACAATCACCAGGCGGCAATCTCTACCCTGATAAAATCTTTACGTGAAATTGTCTTTGCCAATTTTTATATCACGAAATTTTATCATTAGTACAAATTCAATTCAATCAATAGAAATAACTTCTGAAGCATTCAATTAATAGTAAATTATTTCTGACAGTAAAACTGACTTTTGACATTGTACAAATTGTAGGTTAAATTTAACATTTAATTTATATTATTATTTTGTAATGATGACTATGATATCTTATTTAAATTATGATTTGAGACAAGTTTATTGAATGCTGTTCCCATATATTAAAGGTGTACCTACATAACTGGACTATAATTATGAATTATTTTACAAAACTTGGTATGTTGTTGGTGTGTCTTCAATAAATAAATAAATTCTATTAAACACGTGATTTGCAAACTTAAATTGTACGGTGAATAGTACTTGACTGACTTTTAGGTTACGATGTATCTAGTCTAAATATTTTTTTCCTGCTTACGTTTTCTGTATAGTTGAACAAAGGCACTGTATTGAACTGTAACTTAAATAATAACATAATAATAAAATAGATTATAGAGTTTGCCCCACGTGAATTTTAGAAGCATACCTACCATAATATTTATGAAAATACATATCCACCAGATTGCTAGTCAAAAGGTTTGGCTTCGCTCATAAAAAAATGTTACAAACTATTGTAACATAATTTTTATGAGAAAAGTCATTTCAATAGATTGTAATCTTTAGGCCTAGGGTACACTTTACGATGCGAAATATAATCATAAATCTTGTTAAATATTAGATTCTAAATTGTAAAATAACCTTAAAAATAGACAACATTGCCAAACGATATTTCAAAAATTGTATTCTATTTAAACGTTCGTATCAGGGAGTGTATGCTAGCCTTAGCATTCATTTTATAATCAATTATAATAATATTAAATTTCTAATGTTTTCACGATTATTTCTTAATATTGTAATATTTAATAGTCACAATTGTTTTGTTACATAATTATTGCTTGTAACTAAGTGAATTGCATAATTATTATTATTAATTATGTTTAGTAAAATATTTTTATAATTAATTAATAACATCAAACAATTATTAAAGATCGTAAATCTGTTCTCAGATATTTTTATTTTCTGAAATTTAGCATCAAGTAAAACAATGATAACTTTCCCTTACTGATAATATATTTTTAAAATGGTGACCTAAGTACTAATGTGTTGCCATTAAAACATGAAATAATCAACAAAATAATAATTATAAAACCCTTTCTTTGTAAAAAGAGCATATTTTTGTAATCAATTTTTTTATTAATAAATACATACAAAGACATCGGGCTCTGGCAGCGAAAACTATCGTTCTTTCTGACTTAAGTAATTTATTATTTGTTCACCAACTTGGTTATAATATTTTCCAAAACTAGCAAAAATTGTCGATTTGTCAGTTCCTACTATAAGATGAGAGACTACAAAAAAACTTTCTCAATTTATTTATTCGGTGACCGTTCATACCGGACTGTGTGTCACTACTTATAAAAATCAAATTCAAATGCAATTTCAATGAATAAAAATAATTTTGCGGCATACACCTTTCTGTCCTCACCTTTACAACTTACGGCCGGAGGTAGTCATATACAAGGGCGGATCCGGGGGGGGGGGGGTCATGGGGGTCATGCCCCCCCCCCCCCCCTGGGCTGGGTACAGATGGACCAAACCCAGGGGGATTTTATTTAAGTACTTTCAATATTTAATATACCACGACTATATGACCCCCCCCTGGCGCCAAAGCTGGATCCGCCCTTGGTCATATATCGGGTTAGGTGCATATTATGCTTGCGCTGGATAACAGTAATGAAAGGTATCTTCATAATATTATCGCAATCGAGTGTGTTATGATTTCATTACCTATTTATGTTATAAACACTGAAACTTCTATAAAGTAATAAAAAGAAATTGATTTGAAATAAAACTGTAAAATAGACTCAGATTTCTTTACATTATAAGAAAAATAACTACCTCCGAAATTATAAATTTTAAATAAAAACACTATTTATTCAATTCAATTCAAAAGTCATTTATTCAGTTTAAGCTTTTACAATTACATGTGAAAGTCGAAAACTACGCCATCGGTTCGCAAAACTACGGCGGGAGACCTTGTACTGAGAAGAACCGACAAGAAACTCAGCAAGGGCTGCTCTTTTCTCCCTGTTTTATTTCATACAGATAATTTCAACCACAATATCAAAACAAAGTATAAAATCTTTACTCACAAATAACTAAACTTGCTTATTTTAATTTATAAGATTAAACAAGTTATTTCTATTGTAAATGACAAAAGCATATTATTATATTATAACTTACAATAATCAAAACATTAATATCATTCCAATAAAAGTTATAAACAACAATAGGAAAAAGATCAATTAACTCACGTGACCCTGGCTGTTTAGGCTGCACACTAATATCTGAAGACTCGCTGATAAAGTAATGAATATCAAATCAACAGATATCTGAGTTTATACTTTAGAGCCACCCTCCTCAAACAAGTTATTAGTGGCACCATCTTTTACAATATTGTTACGTGTCGGGATGGGGTTCGAAATTATATGCCAGTTCACGCTTGACAGTTCTTTATTCACCACTCAGTTCACACAATGTTAATTACAAAACACGCACTAAACACTGTATTTCACTATACAAGTCACTAAACTATCGCACTGGAATACTTTTGTTGCACTTTGCTCGCCTTTGGAATCACTCCGAAATCGCTGTTGAAACTCAACTGTCTCTGCGCGGCGCCAATCGCGCTTATATACGCCGATCGACGCATTCTAGAAAGTACCTGTTAAATTGAGAATTACCTAGCACCCGCGAGTACGAAATACCTACTTATACCTACGCAGGTAACACGCATAACTTGTAAACAAGTGCAGATGTCGTTGCACTTTCTCCCTTACGTCGTACTGCATAAGGCTCATTTTATAATGAGCCGCATTACTCTCCTCCTCGCGACCCGCGGTGCTCTGGCAAATTCGATCTCTAGCACATTCACGGTTCCGTTTTGAGAGCGTTTGTGACAATATAATTATTAAAGCCTATGGTAGTCTAATAATATCATTTTATACTAACATAAATCTCTTTAAAACATTCAATTCAATTATCATATTATTAGTACAATAAAACATTGCTCCTTTCTTGAAAAGAACAAAAATGTAGGGACTTATGATGGGCAGCAATGTTATCAACCAATCACAGTTGGTATTCTA